GAAAAGTCTCAGGTAAGATCAGGGTAAGCACTGCTTAGCAACAACTAAAACATCAATGTGTTATCAGCACTGTTCTCAGATTAAAGCCAAAACACAGCACCGTACCAGCTACTAGGAAGAAAACTATCCCAGCTGAAACCAGCATGTGCAGCTTTCTCCACAGCCCCTGGGCTGCTGCGGTCAGAAGACAAACATCATTGTTCAGATGCACAGGAGCTGAAGGTCCTGGAGAGGTGAAATATCCTCTCCTCCCTTGATTCCTCTGCAGAGACACTGATGTTGGTAGCACTTGCGCTTCCTCCCAACAGCATGTGCATCCCCACCACAGCCTCTGCTCTCCCTGATGGACAGGTGCTGCAAGGTAGCACACACTGTGCCCTGAATTGTACCTTGCTGGCAGTGTTCTGTATGTGGAGAAAATCATAGAATCATAGAACAGTTAGGGTTGGAAAGGACCTTAAGATCACTCAGTTCCAAACCCCCTGCCATGGGCAGGGACACCTCCCTCTAAACCATATCACCCAAGGCCTCGCCCAACCTGGCCTTGGACACTGCCAGGGATGGAGCATTCACAACCTCCCTGGGCAAGCCATTCCAGTGCCTCACCACTCTAACAGGAAAGAATTTCCTCCTTATATCCAATCTAAACTTCCCCTGTTTAAGTTTTAACCCATTACCCCTTGTCCTATCACTACAGTCCGTAATGAAGAGTCCCTCCCCAGCATCCCTATAGGCCCCCTTCAGATACTGGAAGGCTGCTATGAGGTCTCCACACAGCCTTCTCTTCTCCAGGCTGAACAGACCCAACTTTCTCAGCCGATCTTCATATGGGAGGTGCTCCAGTCCCCTGATCATCCTCGTGGCCCTCCTCTACACTTGTTGCAACAGTTCCATGTCCTTTTTATCTTGAGGACACCAGAACTGCACACAATACTCCAGGTGAGGTCTCACAAGAGCAGAGCAGAGGGGCAGGATCACTTCCTTCAGCCTGCTGGTCACTCTCCTTTTGACGCAGCTCAGGATACAGTTGGCTTTCTGGGCTGCAAGCGCACACTGCAGCCGGCTCATGTTCATTTTCTCATTGACCAGCACCCCCAAGTCCTTCTCCGCAGGCCTGCTCTGAATCTCTTCTCTGCCCAGCCTGTAGCTGTGCCCGGGATTGCCCTGACCCAGGTGTAGGACCTTGCACTGGCATGGTTAAATTTCATGAGGTTGGCATCAGCCCACTTCACAAGTGTGTCGAGGTCCCTCTGGATGGCATTCCTTCCTTCCAGTGTATCAACCGAACCACACAGCTTGGTGTCATCGGCAAACTTGCTGAGGGCACACTCAATCCCACTGTCCATGTCACTGACACAGATGTTGAACAAAACTGGTCGCAACACCGATCCCTGAGGGACACCACTCGTACACCACTCGTTAGTGGTCTCCAGCTGGACATTGAGCCATTGACCACAACTCTTTGCATGTGGCCATCCAGCCAGTTCTTTATCCACCGAGTGGTCCATCCATCAAATTGATGTCTCTCCAATTTAGAGACAAGGATGTTGTATGGGACAGTGTTGAACGCTTTACACAAGTCCAGGTAGATGACATCAACTGCTCTACCCCTGTCCATCAGTTCTGTAGCCCCATCATAGAAGGCCACCAAATCGGTCAGGCAGGATTTCCCCTTAGTGAAGCCATGCTGGCTGTCACCAAGCCCCTTGTTGATTTTAATGTGCCTTAGCATGCCTTCCAGGAGAATCTGCTCCAAGATTTTGCCAGGCACAGAGGTGAGACTGACTGGTCTGTAGTTCCCTGGGTCATCCATTTTCCCCTTCTTGAAAATGGGGGTTATATTTCCCTTTATTCCAGTCATCGGGAACTTCACCTGACTGCCATCATTTTTCAAATATGATGGCCAGCGGCTTAACAACTTAATTCGCCAGCTCCTTCAGGACCCGCAGATGGATTTCATCAGGTCCCATGAACTTGTGCACATTCAGGTTCTTAAGATGGTCACGTATTGGGAGCTTAAATGCTGGGTATTGGGAACTCACGAGATTATGGTGAAATTCCTTGTGCTTTTCATGATAGCAACAGTCTGAAGGCTTTTATGAGCTTGAAGATACTCATCTATGCTAAGAAAAATGCCTAGCTAAGGACTTCTGGATGGTTTCACCATGAAAGTAGCAGCCACTTTAAGGAGCTGAAATGCCTTTTTAAATGCCAGTCTTTCTTTAAGTCTCTGTGCTTCAGTTCCTTTTATGAGAACAATGTCAGCAATGGTTATAAAAACCTCACATGCTCTGTAATGAAAGCCACACAAATAGAGCAGCCTAGCTTTGTTCCCTTTCATTCCCTAGCATAAGGAATTTAGGATGTACTTTTGTTCCAGATTTTGAGCAAGCTGAGTTTCATTGTTGTAAACTAAATCTGTATGGAGGGCTGTGGGATTATACCAGGCAGGGCTAGGGGAAGATCCCAGGTCCCAAACCAGTGGCACTCCTACAGACCTCATGCCCAAACAAGTGAACCAAACAACATGCAGGATGAGGTACCTCCACTTGTCTGACCATCCGTCACTTTTTCCAGAGCCAGGAATAGGAGCCAGGTTCTCCTGTGCCAGGAATGTCCCACCTTGCCTATTGGGAATTACTCCTCAATCTGCTGACAAAAAGCACATCATCTTCGTTCTTCTGTCCAAACAGATTATAACAGCCTGCCTCTGCTGGCAGCTGCTAGCAAAAGCCAACACTGATGATAGAGGCAATCAGCATGAGCAAACCCACCACATACATATCCATGAGAAATCTGCCTGTACTGACTGGGTGCCTTTAGTGGTTTCTTAACTTTTAGGTAATTTTAATTGCAGTTCACATGTTTAGCTCCTACTAGATGGGTGAAAGGAATATCTTCGTGATAATTGTGAAGTGTGGCAATGACTTTGTATTAAAAAAAAAAAAAAGTAAGAACAGTTTTGCTGACAGAAATAAACTATATTTTATTATTTATAATCACGTTTTTATTAAAGGAACAAGTACCTGGTTTTAGTATGTGTTCAGTCTAGCCTTCTATTTTACCAGCCTCATTAACTAATTTTAGTGAGGGTGCTATGAAAAAGGAAAATTCTCTTTATAGAGATGAATATAGACAGAGATAAAAGTTAGGAAAACATATATCCATTTTGGTCTCAAGTATGAAAATGTACTATCTTAAGCAACATATTTACTACAAGCAGAGGAAGGACATGCAAATGTTTATTGTTTCTATCAGCATTAATGCAGAGTCCCTTTGGTTATTTCTTTAATCCAAACAGCTTCCTGGTAGATTCAAGATGTGAGGCCTTTCTGTAATGACTTGGCAAGAGAAAGGGTCCAGAAATTCTCTGCAAACGCAATTAAGTTGTCAAAGACAAGTCCCGTATTTGAATTAAAACTATAAATCTTTCATCTGCACCTACTCTACATCAAATAGCAGGAAAAGAGGTCCTCCCATCTAACAGTCTTAATTACCAGAGCACTGCAGCCTTTGAGCGTGACAGAGCCAATGACAGCTGACCTTGTGCTCCAGGCCTAGAGTGGGATCAATGTGATGAATGGGAATCCCTGCCTGAAATATCACAGCAAAAGGAACAGCCTCTGATGGCAAATTGAGTGCTTAACACACTGTTGGCGCTACACAAATACATAATCATGCCCTTTGCTTTGATCCACTTATAATGGAATGAGCAGTATGTTGAGGGCTTCAGTGTAAACATGTCAAGCTTTGCCTTGGCCAGCCCTTGCCACCTCCTTTCACACAAAATGCATGTCAGGGTGGTGGCTTTTCTCCTCTCCATTGACACTGTAAGTTCTGTTGCACAGGGCGTGGAAAAGATAGGCACCATGGGTTTGTTAGGGTTTTTGCTAATACTTCGCCATGGCCCAAGGGTAGGCAAAATAACTGTGTATCTCCATGAGTTAGCAGGCTTCATTTTCCTTCTCACACTATTCAGGTAAGTCAATGTTGTGGCAGCTGGGTGTTTGATTATTTTAGAGCAGCAGTTCCCATGCTTTGTAGTGTGAGTAGTGAGTGGACCTCAAAGCCCACAGGTTTTTTTTCCTCAAATTCTGAATGTTTTCAGCTCAAGGTTTGTGACAAAGATCCATGGCAGACCATGAGCAATGCTGATAGTGGTTTTTTGGCCCCAGACTTGACAAATTAATGCCTCAAGGCAAGGCCACATTTCCTGGGGTCATCTATGAAGCAACTACGCTTTAAGATAGGGCTGTCACATCTTCCAGTGTGCTAACGTGGCCCTGTTTGTCCTTCAGAGACATTTCTGAAACTGCCTCTAATCACTATATTGACTGCTACTGCGCATTTTCTTCCTGACTTTCCTTCTTTCTATTTTATATCTTGAAGCTTCATGATGTATTTCCTCCACTAATAGGTCTTTCTAGCTCAGTAACTCTGGCATGTACAAGATACATTGCTCTTTGACTAGTAGTACCACATATGAAGAAGGAACTGCATATGCCCTGCAGAAGAACTCATCTCCGATATGGCATATTGAATATAAAGCATAAAATATTTTAATTTAAAAGATATATAACTGCTGCTTCCTTTTTTTTTCCTTTTTTTTTTTCCTTCAAAAATCATTCCTAGGAAAGGTATAATGAATTTTTGTGTTCAGAAAGCTACAAAAATCTGCCTGTGAAAACATGCTGTAACAAATGTCTTACCCTCGAAAGTGAATTCTTCAGATAGTATTTCCAGAGCAAAATCCAGAGTGTGAACACAAAATTTTCTTAGCACAGAATGTTTGTGCAGGAAAATCAGCTACATTTAAATATAATCTTATTTTGTTATGTTTCTATGATAAATAGAATACGCTGTCTTGTATTACATAAAAATACATCTGTGTCTATATACGCATATGTGCTTGCCTTTCTATATTTATATTTGCTACATATCACAAAGAAATAAGTCTTTGTGCACACTCATGATTATTTTTTTTCACAAAAGCATTTGAAATTCCCAAGAAAAGCACATGAAAGCAACAAGGAAAATAAAGAATACTAACCCTGGAGAAAAATTATTTGAGATGCATTTTGAATCTGCAAGGCTGCCAGATCACACTCACAAACATTACCCTCATGTCAAACAGGAACTGTTCAACATAAGAGCAGATGGGGAAAATACGAAAAGACAAGGTGACGGTGAAGTCTGCGCTGTCAGGTCTGCATCCTTCTCATGTTCCTCAAGAGGCGCTCTGTTCACCAGCTATGTGTTTAGGCAGCGGTCGATAGGGGGTTGTTGGCTGCTCCAGGGCTGTCCTGGGGAGAGGCATCTCCTGATGGATGCTGCATGTCTACAGCCAGAGGTTAAAAGTGCAGGAGAGTGTGAGATTCAAAGGATGCAGACAGAACTACTTGTTTTGAGTAAAAATGCTGTAACTGTGTTTTAGGGGTAAAGACAGACCAGGCTTCGCCCCTGCCAGTGCAATTAGTGGAGATGCTTCGTTAGCTTGACAAGCAGAAGGGTGTGGTGGGAATGCAAAAATCCTCATGGGAACATAGCCTTCCTGAATGCCTGGGAGGCATGCCACTGACTTTATCACAGGATGAATTTCGTCCCGTGAATTTGTATTCTCTTGATATGGATTGTGAATAGTAAGGATGGGAATGAAGTATATGTAACCACATACTGCCAAAAGGGGACACAATCCTATTAAAAGAAATCCACTTCTGGCAGAAGAATAGTTACTATGGAATTTAAAACAGGAAGTTGTGTAATTAACTGCACATTTAGAGCAATATTATGCTAAATATAATAAAAATACTGCATGCAATAAGTGGCCCCAATCCTCAGGATATGAATGTGTAGAAACTCAATTTACTCTAATGCCCCAGTGGAACAATGTAAGTTTATATTAACTTGAGTGATTGCTGTGTGCCCTACCCATGCAGAATTCACGGGACATAAACTTGTCCTGCTAGGCACAGGTTCACTCTCATCTGTCTTATGAAGGATACTTTATTTTTTACCTTTCTATAGGCTTTCCCCAGTGTTTAAGGTTTAAGGGCTGAAACAGGAGAACAACTCCAAAACAACTGGTAAAATAACCCTTGGAGAGAATAAGCACAACTGAAACTGTAGAGCATAAACGGTCTTCTAGCATCCCTTAAACTGTTTAAACTTAAACTCTGTGCATGGATATGTGTTTCCTTGCACTTCTTGTCCACACTGCCTCTGTACACAGGTTAGCAGGGTCTATCTGTTGTGCATGGATGTGATCAACATTTAATTTCTGTATGTTAAATGGTATCACTTGTGTGCTCAAAAGGTCTTTAAATGGAAACTGAACTATCTGGGGAGAACACCCCCAAATCTGTGCGCACTCGATTATGAAGAGTGTTGAGATATCACAGCCCCAGTGGAGCATTTGTGCAACATATTTTCCAGGACTGTTTTGATGGCAGGTGCATTAGGAGTATTTCTAGGGTTATGAATATGCATGTGTCTGTATTTGCAAACATTTGGAACTGCCATGTATATAAATCATCTTGCATTCATTTTGTGAGGATGAAAGTGTTCTCTAACAGAAAGGAAATTTCTCACCGAACTGTAGCTCTGAGCTGCCTAATATATTTTGCACAGTAAACAGAATTCTTTCACCCAGATTGCCAGTAAGCTGCCATGCTTGCTGTTTGCCTTAGGGAAGAATACTCAAGTAGCTGTAATAATAAAAAGTTATAATTGCTCTGTAAGGTATGAAACATTGTAGTGGTAAGGCTGGGCACTGAAAAGTTACAGAGAGGATGTGAAATAAGGAAATCTGAGAGGACTGCACAAAAAGGCACTGACATTCATAAAAGGGCAGGCTTAGCTGTTACTTGACTACAGTCTACACCCCTCTTTAGTTTCCATGTGAAAGAATACTATTAAGAAAGATCCTGCAGAACAGTTAATTTGTTTGTTATTTAAGCCCTCCCCTTCCCTATGCAAGCCCACACATGCTAAGTGTTTGAATAGGGGCCAAAACTCTAACCCAGGCATCCCTCCCTGGGAAGCAACGGATGGTCAGGAAGCTATGCTCAAAGGGCAACAAACCTTGGGTCCTGCCTTCTCCCCTCCTCCGGCAGCTGGCCAGGATGCAGGCATCAGCCCTGCCTCCAGTCACACCAGTGTGTGTGGCACAAGTATCAGGCTTCTGTTAATCCAGTTTGCAAGGGCTGAAATGCTGAGGGACAACCAAATGTTATAAGTTTGTTGAATGAGCATGAGGGGCCAGATATTTCGAGCTGCTGTGGGGAGCAGCAACCACCAGGCAGAGATGGGAGTCAGGGTTGAGTCATAGAAAGTGAATGGCCCTGGGGGATTTAAAGTCCTTTACTAGATATTGAAAGAATGTTAGCTAAAATAACGTATCAGAAGGGTGAGACGTAGCAAGGCTACAGTTCAAGTTACCTAAAAGGCCTTTAAAAGGCAGGAAGAGGGTACTCTGCCTTTTGTGAATAGCAGCATGCAGAGCCAATTGTCAGCAGTCATGGCAGACAGAGCATGAACTTCAGCAAGAGAGGTTTCTGTCCTGTGTAAAGTATCCTGTTCTCTAGGAGTGAAATGACTAGGACAAACGTAAAATCAATGATGATTTTCAGAAATCTCTAACCAAATTCTTTGGGGATAGGGAGTGGGAGAAAGAGGGACTAAAAAATAAACCAATCTTAGTTATCTTTTTCTTAAAACTGGCTGTGACTGAAATTGGAAACCCAGACAAACCATCACAAGGAAATTACTGTGATGTTTCCATTTGCAACAGAAGGTAGAAGCCTTATAGGGGTAGGATCGTGTGCATGCAATTTCCAGCCTATTCTGCGTTCTCAAGATAGAATCTGGCTGCACATCAGAAAAGCAGTCAAGCTGTACAAGAAAACCTTTTAGATTTCACTGAGCACTGTATACTGTTGCATTCAGTGCCCTGGATAGAGGTTTTATTAGAGCTACATATTTAGTGAAACAAAGTTTGTCTCACCTCTTGTCTTTTGCTGTGATTGTAGTGGAAAAGGCAATGGGCAGCCAGCAGAAGCTCTGCCTTTCTGTGCTCCTGGGGACTTGCCCTTCTCCTGGAACCCCAAATTCCATCTGGTAAGGACCAAGTCTGAGCAGGAAACTGTGAATTCATCTCTGAAAGCCCTTTCACTGTATTTCTTGTGCTTCTCTGACTCCTGATGTAGTTCATGTATTCACAAGAATACTGTCTGTAAAGTAGAAAATGGGTAAGCTTCACTTAGTTAATCACTCCAACTTCTACAGTCACTAGTGAGTGAAGGGAAAATTAAAAGTTACCTAGCTGCGTATTAAAAGGGATGAGTTACACCGGCAGCCTGCTTTGGCTCTGTTTTTGGCGAGACCCATCTGTTCTGAGGAAGCTGAGAACATTTCAAGTAAAAGCATTTGGAATCTCAAAAACTCCTTTACACTTTTAGGGCAAAATGTCAGATCTTGCTTCAACAGATCTCTGTCCCTAGAGTCAGAACTTGAGTCTACCTAAAGGACATTAGTCATCTCATACCAAATGTCCATAACAAATGTCAGCAATTTTGACCCAAAACAATTTATTAGATGCAATTGGATCCAGGTGGAATGGGCAGATCACCTGTGATTTCCCTTTCCCATTACTTTTTGCTTGTTGAATCTCTTTTAGGGAAAAAAAAAACCAACAACCAAAATGTTTCATACCTAAACAAACCTTCAGCTGCAGCTGCTAGTTAGATTTGGGAATGGATTATAAAAATGTGATATGGTCCCCATTTCATTTGATGGTGCCTAAAAACTATTCCAAGAGGTGTAGGTTTGTGTTCTGATGTTACATTAATATGATTTATTGTGTTATATTTCTAATGGCAATTGGATTTTGCATGCCATTTAAGAAATAAGATACTCTAATCAGAACCTGGTAGTCTCAACACTCATGGCAGTATGCCAAGAAGGAGTTTTGTCTGGTCTGTAAGAATAAGTTTGGTAGATGGTCCAACTTTTCCCATCAAGACATGTAAAGATTCTTAATTTTCTTCCTTGAGCAAAGAAGGGAGAAATCACTAGGCAAAAGTTGTAAATGAGGAAAAGGAAAAGCTTTATAAATAATGAAGGATGAGAAAATAGGAAATTACTAAATCTGTGTATCTGCCAGTCCCTCCAATATCTCAGAATGGCATCTGCTGGTCTTGCTTGAGCTGGCTCCGAGGTGACATTGTTGAGAGCTACAGTAGAACCATAGAATAGTTAGGCTTGGAAAGGACCTTAAGATCATCTAGTTCCAACCCCCCTGCCATGAGCAGGGACACCTCACACTAAACCATGTCACTGAAGACTCCATCCAACCTGGCCTTGAACACTGCCAGGGATGGAGCGTTCACGACTTCCCTGGGCAATCCATTCCAGTGCCTCACCACCCTAACAGTAAAGAACTTCTTCCTTATATCCAACTTAAACTTCCCCTGTTTAAGTCTGAACCTGAAGTAGTGAAGTAGTGAAGTTTTAGTGAAGCTGGTGAAGCTTTACTGCAGCTGGTGAAGCTTTACAGCAGCTGAGCCTTTAATATGAGAAATCACCTTTAACACGAGAAATCACCTTTAACACTAGCAGAAATTGAAACAGAACTAAAGCAACCGGAAAAGCTTTTGGTAATAACAGAAGGTGTAGGCAACATGTATGAGTCATTGCAGGGTGAATTAGAAGCTGAACTTACAGCTGATCCCCTGTAATTGTTTGTGTACCAGCTCCTCCTCTTCAAACACTAGGCATGTTTCTCTTTGAAAGATAAGCAATGTGCTTATTATTACTATCTGTCTTTTACCATGGGATAAAAGCTCGCACACTGGCAGTTAATGGGGGTCATTCTGATGTCTGTTCAGCTAGTCTCTTTTTACCCCTACTACCTGTTCATGTGTCTGTACCCACAATCCAGCCATATCCCTATGCTGAGCCTTCAAGATGTTCTAGTCTTGTATACTGTGAAGTTACAGTTCCCAGCCTGTTCTTCTCCCTCAGTTTATTCTCAATTAACTAATCCATTAACTGTGCATTAATGGAGTAGGGAAACCCTGGGGATGCTCATTAAAGTAGCCACTTTATAAACAGTGTCTCTCTAGGCACTTCAAGGCACTGACCATTTCCTAGGCAAATTTATTGCAGCTCTCCAGAGGATAGAAGCTAGAGCCTCTTGAATAGAGAAACTGCTTTCTGAACAAGCCAACAGGGTCCATGGCCTGGGAGAGAGCATTACATAGGAGCTGTGCTTTTGGCAGGCTTCATCCTCCAGCTTTCTGTTAAGTGATGCTGGCTGGCAGGGAAGCAGGATGAGAGTGAAGAGCACTCTCTGCTCCTACCACAAGCCAGTTTACAGCTTCTGTGAGTATGTCCGTAGCCCTTATTCCCCAGATGCAATCCCCTCACCACATGCTGCTCAAAAAAAGAAGAGGGGAAACAAGCTATAAGAGCAACTATTTCCCTGTGAATGAATGCCATTATTGAAACACAAGGCATTCCTCTTTTGCTGAGCAACGGCCAAATTCACAGTTCTCTGCAGGTAAAAATACGTCCCCAAAGAGGCTTTTACTAAATACGTCTTAGGTTAAAACAAAATTACATAATCCAAACATCAAAATATTGATTTCAAATAAGTCTTAAGTCTCGGGAACTTGTTTGTAGCATGCTATCAAATGCAGAACACAAAGCGAGCTCATTGTGTGAGCAGTTGGCACTTCAAATGAACTGATGTGAAATCCTAAAACTGGTAGTGGAGCATTTTTACCCAGAAATACCTCATATGTTTAGACTGCCTCTTCAACATGTGTCACGTGGGCTAGAAAATGTCAGGCAGTCATAAACCCAACATTCAGTCATGAGACAGAAAATTTATTTATCTTTAAACAAGAACATGGATTAGGGTGACCAAGCACTTTGCTAAAAGACAAAATAACTTGTTCCTCTATGCAGTGTATGGTGAACCCACGACAGAGCTAAATAATAGCTTTATCTGAACTCTGCACAAGCCCCTCCTGAAAACCCATCTCAGGCTTCTGACTCCTTACGGACATAATTGCTTACTGTTCTCCTGAACTTGAATACTGTAGTAGGTGCATAAATCTGACTGAAGCACCACATTCGTTTGTCTTCACACCCTGACTTCTTCGGCACCCAGCTACCTCAACTGAGATAGAAAACAGAAACTGACTTTATTAAATGTGATTAAAATTTGTTTAAACTGACTTCTAGTCATCTTAGAGAAGTTTCCTTTTTCCTTTTGAGCAAACCCCTGTTCTTACTTGACAGTGCTGCATTGCTGACAATGTACTTTCTGGGAAGTGTTTTCTATTTTGAGTGAAAATGTCAGGCTCATTTCCAAAAGATTTTCTTTTTCTGTTCTCTCCTTTTCACTGTTCTAATTCTGTGAATCTTCCTGGTTTATTCATATGTCTTGGTGGAAAGACCTCTGAGGAGCTGAGCTTGGAAGTTCCTACCCCCCACCGTGTTATCCCATCAAAATCATGTGAAGATTATGCTGTATGCTATTGCTCACTGCTGGAGAACAAAGCTCATGCCACAGATATGATCAGAGGGCTGGAGGCTTCAGGCAAGCTGAGAGGGCTGGGCTTGTTCAGCTTGGAGAAGACTCCATGGACACCTTATAGAAGCCTTCCAGTACCTAAAGTGGGTTACAAGAAATCTGGAGAGGGACTTTTACAAGGGCCTGCAGTGACAAGGGAGAATAGGATAGTAGGATAGATTTATATTAGACAGTAGGAAACAATTCTTTACTGCAAGGGTAGTGAGGCACTTGAGCAGGTTGCCCAGAGAAGCTGTGGATGTCCCATCCTTGGAAACAGTCAAGGTCAGGTTGGATGGACCTGATCTTCTCCCACCACATCCTCCTTCTCCTCCTCTGGTATTTCATACCACAGCTACTTCACGTCATGACTAGAAAGTGCCATGATACTTAATGAAAAAAAGCAGTAAGAATTTTCAGAGATCTTTTTCAGCTCTTCAGGAAACTTAAATCCCATTTTGAGATAGAGACTAAAAAGTGAAAAACAATCTTATTTGGACTTCTTCCCAGCATACTGACCTTATTTAAAGAGCACTCTACTGCAAAATGACTGCCCGCCATGATTTATTTTCTGGGCTCAAACAGAAAGTATGAAACACTGAAATAGTAACTTGGGCCTGAGATGGTTGGTCTTCTAATGAGTCTAAAAAAAGACCAGAGATCACAGAGCAATAGGCTGCTTGGTCAAAACATGGTCAGGGTGACCATGAGCCGACACTGTGCCCTTGTGGCCAAGAAGGCCAATGGCATCCTGGGTTGTATTAGAAGGGGGGTGGTTAGTAGGTCGAGAGAGGTCCTCCTTCCCCTCTACTCTGCCCTGGTGAGACCTCATCTGGAATATTGTGTCCAGTTCTGGGCCCCTCAGTTTAAAAAGGACAGGGACCTGCTGGAGAGAGTCCAGCGCAGGGCAACTAAGATGATTAAGGGAGTGGAGCATCTCCCTTATGAGGAAAGACTGAGGGAGCTGGGTCTCTATAGTTTGGAGAAGAGGAGATTGAGGGGTGACCTTATTAGTGTATATAAATATATAAAGGGGGAGTGTCATGAGGATGGAGCCAGGCTCTTCTCAGTGGCAAACAATGAAAGGACAAGGGGTAATGGGTACAAACTGGAACACAAGAGGTTCCACTTAAACCTGAGAAGAAACTTCTTCTCAGTGAGGGTGACGGAACACTGAAACAGGCTGCCCAGGGAGGTTGTGGAATCTCCTTCTTTGGAGACATTCAAAACCCGCCTGGACACGTTCCTGTGTAACCTTATCTAGGTGTTCCTGCTCCGGCAGGGGGATTGGACTAGATGATCATTTGAGGTCCCTTCCAATCTCTAACCTACTGTGATACTGTGAAAACTGAAAACTGGTATTTCCACAGCTCTTCCTAGACACCCATCTCCTTACTGGCAAGCTTGCATGCAATTGACAACTGTCTGTTTCCAAACAAGTCATAGCCAACACATTTGAGGGACAGCCTATATCTGAAGAAGAAAAGGAGATCAATTTGCCATGCATAAATATGAAGTTTAGAATATTCAGTAATCTGAACATGCCAGGCAAGTATTTAAGTTAATGTGGTCATCGGAGCCATCTCTTTTCATAAGAATCCAATGTTAAAACAAGAAGTAATCTGAAACTGAGAGTCTTTGTTGATGATGTAGGAACTTAGATTTTGCAAGACCATATTATTTTTCATGTGGAAAGAAAGCCAACAGCTTTTTATTCAGCTAGAGCAATTAATGTCAGGGGTACCATCCAAGCCCTTACAGGGTAATATCCATCTTGTCTCATAGAACTGAATTACTTAAAATGTGAGTTTTGGAACTGAAGACTATGGTAAAACACGTTATGAATGCTATCTGTATATATTCAGTATATAAAGTGATTTGACCTAATCTGAGATTTTTAATATAAAATTCAGGATTTGAGTGTACATACCGAGATTTAA